GCTTCACGAATCGAAATCGCAATCGGCCTTGATTCAATCGGCTCTCGCTCTCACTCTCTACCTTTCTCGAGTCTCGACTATCGACCGCCGACGGCCGACCGGCTCTCGGCCTCTCGCTCTCGCTCTCGCTCTCGCTCTCGCTCTCGCATCTTGTGGCTTGTGAGGTTAGGGTTATTTACTTTACTTATTTCATTTCTTATGTTTCTAATTCTTGTTTGATTGCAAAACCTAAGTATGATGCTATGAAATTGGTCCTTTATGGTTTGTCATTTGTGTTTCTAGTATTGTTACTGTATCACTGATGTTAATGTATCATGTATGCCTAAATCCTAATTGAAATCCATGTCTTTTGCTGCCAATCTACCATTTGTTAATTGAGGTCCAAATTTCTTTACCTAACATCTGTTAACAACTCCCTAGGACAGCTTAAACAACCTCTAAATGTGGCCCAAAACAGTCTCGAAACAACATCCAAATAGTCCCTATTGCTGTTGATTTTTTTAGACACAAATCGGCCTCTTTAGCTGCTAATTTTTAGCCACAAAACAATCCCTAGCTGCTGATTTTTAGCCCCAAAAAAAAAACCCTTTAGCTGCTGATTTTTACCCCTAAAAGTCAGTCGAGTGGGTGTATTGGACCTGCTTGGACCTTAATCTGTTGCTGTATGCATTACTACTTAATACTCGTTGAATCTCTGCAATAGTTAATTTGTGTCCATCTTATGTATATAATGTACTTATACTAACAATTGCAGCATCTATTATGTTATGGTTATTTTTTTCCATTGTTCCATTTACCATGAGAGGTTCTAACTTCACCACTATTTTTGGCTATTCTGTTTTAACTTTAGCACTTATGAGAACCAATTACTGAACCTTGTATTGGATGAAGGTCATGAAGCTGTAGAGTTCCCTTTCATGTTAAGTATAGACTTGTAATAGTACAATTTGTGTGCATGTTTATGGTTCAAAACATTCAAGATTCTCAAGTCATATGGTGCTATAGCCAAAGTAGCCTACGAGTAGTGCCCTATCCCACAACTGCACTAGTTGGGGGCAGAGGAGTCAAATACCATTACAAAAAAAAAAAAAAGTAAGTGGTGTCCGCTTCTGTTTTTGGGAATTCAAAGGGTACTTCTGAAATCGACACTTGACATACAAGTTTTTCATAATTTACTTCTGAACATGTATTAGTCATTTCCTTTCTTTTGGGACCAAAACAACTTTAAACATTGTTCCAAAATAATTTCATTTGTCTTTTTTCATTTCGATGTCAATGAATCCAGTATAAACTTAAATGTTTATATGAAAATCATGTAATAATTGTATCGTGACTGCGCTTTTCTATGTTATAAATGAAAGCTTGTCATGATGGCGAATATGATAAAGGACCAAAAATCTTACCCGGTAAGAGCGAGACAAGTACCAAGAGTCTTATCCAGTAAGTGAAGACGGCGACTTTTACCACGGTAAGCACTTACCAGGTAAATTGTTGCATACGATGTCATTTTGGTGAACTAAAATCTTACCCGGTAAGAAAATGATAGTGTAAAATTTTACCGATAAGAACTTACTATATAAGTGTTTGGTAAACGGCCCCTCCCTCTAAAAAGTTCTTTCTAACTGATGGACCATGTGTATATTATAGTTTTTATTGGTTGGTCATTGATCCAACCAATATGTTGTCATTAAGGAGATTTTATGTGTTTTTTGGGCTTGATATTATAGCCTTTATGATGATAAGAATTGTTGGCATATCATGTGTAGACCTCTGTCTTTATGGAATCAGATCTGATRTTTCTTATTTCTTGTTCTGTTGTTGGAGCTACTCTTGACAGATATTAGTTGCATGACTCGAAGACGACCTACTTAAACAACAAACATGTATACTTATATTCAAGAAACCTGCTTTTCGGAGTACCAATCTCTCTTTAAGGCAAGAAAAGTTATAAATATCGTATATTTTGGCGCATTTCAGATAAATATGATATTCCCTATTTTTTGTTTCGGTATGATTTATCTCTTTTCTTTTATYTTTTTCAGATCGATTTCATTYAAYAGGAACRACTACTTTGTGAGGCTTAAAATGGAGAACATGAAACTTAAAATTGAATTTAAATTTTAAATATTCAGTTTTGTAATGAAATGTTCTGATGGCTTATTGACTTGTTGCAGATAAAGAGGCAAATTCGCACTGTTTGCAGTTCACAGGAAATTGTTTCATTATGGCTATCACCTTTACAAACACATGGTAATTAGAGGGCTTTCGTTGTCTATGCCAAGTAACAAATGTTGTTCTACTATAATATAAGAAAAAGTTAGAAAATAGATGAGAAGTGATAGGTTGAGCATCAAGTTTTCTGAGGAGGTCAGGGAGGATGTTAAAAAAATGGATGTATGGATTGATTGAACGTTAGAGATTGTTTTGAAAAATTCTTGTCTTTTATATGGTAAATGTATGAAATTTATTGCTTTGAGATTTTTATGTTGTTTTTATTGATTGATATTATTATTTATAATATATAATTATACATAAATACAGGGCTGAAATATGGTTGAAAGAAAATAATATGCTCTTTAGAGAAGGAATCGATGTTTTAAAAGTKCATCTAAAGATAACTTTTAGAGAAAGTTTTGATTATTTGTATCTAGAGAAAGTTTTGATTATTTGTATCTAAAGATAACCTTTGGAGAAGGTTTTGATTATTTGTATCTAAAGATAACCTTTGGAGAAGGTTTTCAAAGTAGTAAAATGTACTAAAGACAATACCTTTAGAGAAGTTTTTTTGTGAACCTTCTCTGAAAGTATTTTTTAGAGACGTTTCTAAAC